GCGGTGCGGCGTGCTGGCCTTCGTGCACGACTTGGAGGCGATGGCGGCCGTGTGCGAGGCGATATTCGCGCGCGGCGGCCGGCGCGCCGACCTCGAGCGCTGGTACCTCACGCTGGGCGGCGCCATGGTGCGCACCATACAGCGCGCTGACCATCCTCGGACACCGCGCGCCGTCGTACATATGGGTAATTTAAAATTTGTATTTGTAGATTTTCTTTGTAAGCAAAAATATTGTCACGCTTAATGTAATAGAGAACTACCATCGCCTGCACGCGGTGATATCATCTCTGCGCGCGCCGGCTCTGGACGCGCTGCGGCGCGAGTGCAAGGCGCGCTACGCGGACGCTCTACGGACATACGTGACGCAGTACTTCGGCCGCCCGCTAGACAAGCTCGCCCAGTTCTTTGAGGTCAGTGCTTCGCGATACATTGCTACAACTACTATTTATTATGTAAAATTGTCCTATAGTTGGGCGCGTGTGGTGTGTTTAGGGCGTGGCGGAGGCGGTGGCGTCTGGTGTGCGCGAGGACGAGGTGTGTTACCGCGCGGCATTCAGCAAGCACGAGCTGCGCCGTCTGCTGGCGATGTACCCCGCACACGAAGGTACGCCCCGGTCCGCTGGCTAGATGGGTCACTGTGCTGCCATCTACAATACATTGCAATGTGTGTGTGTGCAGTGCGCAAGTCCCTGCACCGGCTGTACCGCACGGTGGAGAAGCACGTGAGCGAGGAGGGTGGGCTGCTGCAGGTGGTGTGGCGCGCCATGCAGGAGGAGTTCATCGCCCAGCACGTCGCACTACAGGTACCCATATTTCGTTATCATATGGTCAAGCAAAACCACTTTAAGAAGTGTAAATTAATAATTTGTAATATTCAGGCGCGTATTGCGGCCTGCTACCCGGGCGCCGGGCTGACGCTGCCGCTCAGCACGCAGGACATCCTGGACGCATTCTCAGACATCGCAAGAGAACATTGACATGTTTAGTGCCACCGACTCAATTAAAATGGAAGGAGTATTTAAAATGTTAAATGTGAAGACTAACCCAACATGTTGATGTGTGACACAACATGTTAGGTTATTATCATTGTAAATAATGTTAATCAAAGTTATCAAAAATATTTATCAACTTATTTCTCGATTTAAGTTAAGTTTTAATGTTAATATTTTATCACGGTAAAAAAAATTATAAATATTTTTTGTTTTATTTCTTTACTAGCTTTCACCAGTGTATCATTCGGCGCCGAATAAAAAAAAACTTAATTAGTAGCTCTTCCAGACTGTGTTCTACATTTATGCCAAATTTCATAGAGATCATTTCAGTCATTCTGGAGATACCTTTAAACAAACATCCGTCCATACATTCAGATTTATAATATTAGTAAGTAAGGTAACTACCATAACTATAAAATACCAAAGGTGTAGTAAAAGGGAGTTCAATCAGGTAATAAAACAATATAAATAAACTTATAATGATTTTTAAACACTATTATTTATTTCAACTAAATGAATTTCCATACATAGATCCCAGTATAATCAAAACATTTAATCCAGAGACTTGGGGGGAGAGTAGTTCAGGTACACCAATCCAGAAGACTTAGCCTGTAAAAATAATTGAAAATCAAGTTAATTGCCTCACAAGATAACAACTTCTAGGTATAAAATAGGAGAAAAATTAATTGGAAAGAATAATATTAGAATTAGTTAAGCACACCCAACATAATGTATGAACAAGTTGAAAATGAAATGATTATCATCTCATTTGTGTTCTAACATATTGTTTTTTCAAATAATCAAATGTTTATGTACATACCACTACAACGCTGAAAGCGGCAAAGGCAATACCGAAGGCGAGCACCGAGTTGTAATGTCTCTGGCTGGCGTCATATCGTGCCTGCCAGGAGCCATTGGGCACCGGCAGCTCATCCATGCTTGGGGGCTTGAACTCACCCGCATGGTAGCGGCGCACTAAACATAGTCAAAGAATTCACCTCTCACTTAGATCAAACTTTAAAAAAAAACTGTCCCGTTAAAGACTACATTTCAACACATATATATGCTGTTAGAAATTTTTTCATTGATAGCATTGTAAGCAAGGAATGTCAGTTCAATGAAACAGTACTAACAAATACAAGACTACACTACTTTATAGAATAAGAAATAAACACAATAATACAAGGAAGAATTCAATTACTTATATAATGGCTTATGCCAATACAGTAACTAATATAAATGATTGTGTTTCTTAAGATTTAAATGATTTTAGTGAAAATATAAAATTTAATTAATCTAAATTATGAAAAATTCGTAAAAAAGATATGTTAACATATAATTCAATTGATTCATGATCATTTAACTTAGCCAAAGTATTTTATCTTGTTATTGTATGAAACACAATTTTACTCTATTGCAGATAAACAGGAACTTTTAGTATATTTAAAAAAAACAAAATTATGTTTTACACGTCATAAAGTGTAAAACATAATTTTGTTCATTAACACTACTATAAATATTTGTAATTGTATGTATTTTGGCACGACGTCTATTGCACCAAAAGATTGATAGTGATGATTAGAATTTTAGGTTAGTATTTTTGTAGTTATGTAATAACAAGTTTGATCGTTTAAGTGCTTATTGCTACGAACAAAACTAAAGATAGAATAAATATATAAAACTAATGCAAAAATAGCTTTGTTGCAGAAAAATTGTTGTAAAATAAATAAAATTAGTACATTATTGGCAAGTAGAATTTATACTTTTGCGAATTCACAATGTAAAACCTACGTTATTTACCTGTTTGCTGGAAAAGTCGAGATACTACAGGTCTTGTGATAAACATATTGAGAATAAATATAATTTTTATAAATGTATCTTGGAAAAGGATTAATTGTCGACTCGCGGAAAATCCAAAACGAATGACGAAAATGTCATATGTCAAAATGCAAAATCGATTAACTACGTACACAGACTCTCAAAACGTACGACAGATTATTAAATTTTGACTTTTCAAATTCGAATGGTATTAAATCGAAAGAAAATCGATTTCCAGACTTTCACTAAGATTATAGTCTAACCAGAAAATTGGAAATTCTCGCCAACTTCAATGTTGCTTGTGGAAATGGATTTAAAGCGGTGTACAAAAATACAAACGTTAACCTATCGTTGTTTGAATTTATATGACGCCAAAAAAACCGATCCTATGGATTAGCATTTCTACAGACACAGTAGAAACTACCGGAGTTCGATTACCAGTCAACACATTTTTTGGAACTTTTAAAGAAACGTTACTACTTTAACAATTAGCGTAAGAATGTCGTGTAACAGTATGACTTTCTTTGTAGATGTATAATATAGACCGGAGAAAATAAGATAGAGTAAGAGAAAGAAATTGATGAATTTCTCTAACATAAACACAGCTTCAATATGCCTTCAAGATTTAAAAAAAGGGGCTTGACAGACAGACGGACGGACAACAAAGTGATACAATATGGGTTCCGTTACAGAGCTCATGTACGTTACTAAGAGGAGTAGGCAGATACAACAAACATCTATTTGACATGCTTCTGGCACATCTCTCTCGCCTCTTCCACATACATATCATATATCTCTGAATTCATGCGGGTCGATGTCACGTTGTCTTTATATTGCCTTTATTGAGTTAATCGCTAATCCAGGTACAAATTATGATAAATAAATTCCAGCTTGATACCTTCACTTGTTCCTGAAAAAAAGGGTCTTGATACACGGACAACAAAGTGAACTTATAAGGGTTCCATTTTTTCCCTTTGAGGTACGGAAACTTAAAAATGACTAAAATTTAATTCAAGAAACTGATAAGACATGACGATAATAATATGAAAGGAACATGCGAAGGAACCGTATCAACACAGACGCGCGGCGTAGGTAGAGATGGAAGCCGTGCCAGCGAAATCACGAATACCAAAACCAAATACCAGTGCCCATTGACCAATGACAAGCAGTCAGTCGCGCCGAGCGCTTCATAGTGAGAGGATGTGTATTGCGTCGTTATGGTAGACGCGCACACGATCCTTTGTTTATTTTCCGTTTGTGTTTTATTGTATTAATATAATGTTTGATAACGACAATCGTAGTGATAATAAGAACGCGGCGTACAGCTAACGCAGTGTACAAATGGAGTGGTTAAAGCGGTTATTTGGGCGAGAGGTCCGCGAGGGGAGCATTCGGGACGCGCCAGAGGATGGCCTGGAGACTGCACAGGAGCGGCGCCGGCGCTGGCGCAGCGTTTACGTCATCTACTTCACCATGTTCCAGATGTCCCTCGGCTTCAGCATAGTGCTGACAGGCGTCTGGCCCTACCTTGACATGGTACATAATCACTTTCTCTAGCCTAGGTCTAATCTTTGAAATATTTCTCTCGTTGCAACGTCAATTTTAGAGTTTGAAAAGATACTTTATTTCACAACAAATAATAATTTGTCTCATTAGTTTTGTTTATTGTAATAATTGTATTTGTAATTAGTGATTAATAGTCTGTTTCGTTTTCTCTTACTTTTGGTTACTTATGCTCTTATTCCGTTATTTGATATTATTCAAATTCAGTTATTTAATTAGATTTCTAAATTGAATTATGAGCATTTTATCACCGAAAGAAATCGGACAGACTTGTATGTAAACCGGACTTGGAGAAATTACTTAATCAATTTATTAATAAAAATATCCTTGTTTATTTTTTAAAGTAATAGTAATCGATAATAAAAGTTTATATTAATTAAAGCCGGTTTTGATCTGAGATCAATGCGTTTCGTATGTAAATACAATGTAAGAGATAGTTTGTTTACAAACGCTTATCGCATTCCCGCGCCTTTCTATTTACAACCTGGCAATCAAACCGGAATGATGGATACCTACGTCATATTGTACAAAATGTTGTCGACTCTGTGTTTATCGTAAAACACAAATCATCTCTTTCATTCTCTTTGAAAAAAGTGAGACAAAAATATGTTGAAATGTAAGAGTTAGGGCAATAGATTTTCTCCGTGTCTGTGGTCTCCACGTTACAGTCCGAGAGATAAAAGCAATTGCCCTAATATTTTGCGACCCACGGGATGTGTCCCCCTGTAGTTTTGTCTTCTTTATCAGTCTGTATCCATTTTCTATAATACTTCATTCACTCACAAGTCTTCTCATAATCTTTCTCAATAGTATTGCTTTGTGCATAAAAGTATTTCCGCCTTCTCTATAAGAACCGCTAATATTGTTACAATTTACGTGTCAAGATTATATAATTTTATGAATATATTTGAACAATCGCCTATGTTTACGAAGCTTGTCAGTTCGTGCAAATAATTTTTAGGACAAACAATAATATGTGTATAGACAAAAAAGCTTATAAATAGAAAAAAGAGTTACTTGTTACGTAGCTCATGACCGCGCTTCATTCTTGTAACCTGAACTTGACACTAAGTTATATTGGATACGTCTCAAGTAACTGAATCATTGAGTTATAGCCTTATAAGCCATAGACAAGTGTTATTCAACGAAACATTTTAACAAGTTGGGATAGATCAATGGGTGGGTGGAAGAGCCGGGAATTAAAATGGCGGGAAATAAATCCAACTTGTGATTGAAAACGAAATGGCAGTAATACCACTATATTCCACTGGACAGGCTATAAGTTGTGGTATTTTGTGCCTGTTTGATTTTCGCCATATTGGCATAGTGGTGTTGAAAATTAGAACTAATATTGTAGAGATAATAAGTTGACTGTAACTTCTACTGGCATCAAGTATCTATGCCAGTTGATCCTAAATAATTGCACTAGCTCGATTTTAAGTATAATTTTATTAAAGATGGCAGGGATATAGTTACTAGGAGTGACTGGTGCCACAATAGACTCATTTATGAATGCTTAATGGATTAGTTGTTAAGCGGTAAACTATCAGAAGCACGATATTCATTTTACGACGTTTTATTGTTTTCTAGTGATAAGTAATACTTGCCGTATTTATTATTTACATTCATAGATTATGTATTGAGTGCATTAGTTTATTTAACGTGTAATTTATAATCTGACAAGCCGACGAACGTGACTCCGTCCGTACAGAGTAAAAAAAACTTGTTTGTTTTACATCCGTGCCAAATTTTAAGATAACTTGAGCCGTACCGGAAATAACTTTTAAGATACATTCATCCAAATATTCGCATTTATATTATTAGTAAGATAAGATAATAATTTATGTATATTTTTAGATATATTCTAGTTAACACTTAAGCACAACTCAAAAATAATGTTTTATTAACCTAATAAATCAACTATTAATTACATTTTTAACATATCCTTTTATTTAAGGTCGAAGAAACGCGATAAAGTATGTTATCAAAGTATGTTACGTTATTATAGTATGAGATATATATTTTGTCCCTTTCACTCGCATACAAATGCGACAGATAGAGCTATTGGTATGTGTCACGGTACAAGGAAGTCGATACGTACATGAAATTAAGTTCGAAAAAACTAAAGTATACTTCGAAGAAAGTGTTGTAATCCAAAAATGATAACGGTAAATGTTTTCAATGTATAATTAGGTTACCTATATATATAAAAATCAATTGCTGTTCGTTAGTCTCGCTAAAACTGGAAAACGGTTGAACGGATTTATCTTATCTTTGTCTGGGAATGTTCGTGGAGGTCTAGGGAAGGTTTAAAAGGTGAGAAAAATGCGAATAATTGCCGGGAACTAATTAAGGTTTCATTCCCCGCGGACGGAGTCGCTGGCGACAGCTAGTGTAAAATAAAATAATTATTTCGATGAAATTACTCAATGCAAGTACTTTTACAATCAGAAATAGATTATACAGGATGTCCGGAAAAGATGTATAACGGAAGACAACAAAGATTACTTGGTCGATAGTTTCCGAGCTTAAGAGCTAGTAGAGAATTCTTTAGTAAGTCATTAAAAGACTGATAGTGCGGACTTCAGTTTACTAGCCTTAAGATAATCTCAAAGACTGAATCATGCTGTATCTACAATCCAATAACATCACGCAAGCCATTTAGTGGACATTAAATTAGCAACCAGATCCTCGTTTTCTGTGCTTAGTATGTTATTAACTTGGGATTAAAAACAAAGTCTTTGTTTTTTGTATGTTGTAATAGTGTTAATGACCTTATACAAAAGTCATTTTTAGGGTTCCGTACCTCATAGGAAAAAAACGGAACCCTTATAGGATCACTTTTTTGTCCGTCCGTCCGTCTGTCAAGGCCCTTTTTCTCAAAAAACGCGTGAAGGTAACCAACTGGAATTTATATCAAATGTTCAGGTCTGCGGTCGCTAGGTGCTGTGAAAAAATAAAACTTCTAAGCCAACCCAATCAAAAGATACAACCGTTAATGTCGCAAATTTACGCAATTTTTTTTTTACCAAATAACAGGTTATTCTCAACTTCCTGTAATTTGTCATTGTCTACCAAATTAAAAAAAAAATACAAAAAAAATTATATGCCAGAATTACATGACGCATTATATGAGACGAAGATATAAATGAATTATTTTTTCAAAATGCGAAATAATCAGCTTTATAGTGAGAACTCAGTATGATTATCATATGTTTTAGCACATCTTACTAATGATGGGTAGATGGATGGATGAATGGATGTTTGTTTGAAGGTATCTCCGAAACTTCTCTACGTATCTCGCTAAAATTTGGTATAAATGTAGAACATAGTATGGAACACATGGGCTACTTATTAAGTATTTTTTTTAACTAAGCGCGGACGGAGTCCAGGGCTACAGCTAGTATGATATACGTTTTGCCTGCAACAGCGACAGGGTTGTATTCGCTTAGTAACAGTCTCCATAGACAAAGTGAATTCGATCTGAAGCGATTCCATAACGACGTTTGCTATCGCTATAGCGAAAGGGTATTTCGGTTGGTAGACAAAGTACCATGTCATTAGCGACCGCTTTGTCCATCGTTACGTTTGGCGAAAGTACTTTTTGTTTATATTAGGACTCATCGGATCTTAGCAACATGGTGAAATGTATTGTAACACGTTTGTTGTAAAAAAATTACGACATCTCCTTGAATAAATACAATAATGTTTATAGTTGCACAGTATCAAACATCAACACGAAGTCACGTCCATTGTCTGACGAACATGCTTGTTAACCATCAGTTTCCACTGCCGAAGCATCACTGTATATATAAAAGAAGTGTCTTGTACACACTTTTTAGAAAAAAAAATTACAAATGTAGAAATTTTCACTTATTTTTTTTTAATGTTAGTTAAATCAGCACATTTACGATATTGTCTTTGTGTCACAAGTTGCCAGAGTTCAAAGTTTCAAGTTAAACAAAGCATTGCCGATAACACTTGTGCAAATGATTCACAAAGATCTGTATATATTTGGATGACGTCACTGATAGCACAAAGATCGAAGGGCACTGGACCAATGTTGCTAAACTGGATCTATTGTTGTACACTTAGACCGATTTTCCTCCTCTAATCAACTATCCTCAAATGAAACAAAATTTGAAGCCAGTAACGGCTTTAGGTCTATTAGTACCCTGGGCGAAATATTACCATGAATCTGCCGACATGAAGGCAATTGGGCTGACATGGCCCGAGACCAAACGCGGAGCCCAAGATAGAGCGAACTGGTGGCGCACTGTGGACGCTCCCTACGGGGACATAGACTTTAGAGGGGATTAACAGGACTATGTGAGACTAAAATGCAGATTTGTAGAGCCCCTCTCTGTCAATCGTTCTGACCGTTAACAAAATCGAATACCCTAACACAGGCCCTGCTGTGATTGCGGCGATAGAAACATATCAAGAGATTGTAGATTTTCTTTCTATTATTGTAAATTGGTGTAGGAAATATTGCAAATGAAAATAACATTGAGAATGGGCATACTTTTGTTGTTCGTTTTCTTTTGAAAGTAAAAACGACAATTGTATTGCAAAACAACGGAATTGGAACGATATATATAATTGTAATAGAATAGTAAGCAAGGTCGCTCCACAATTAATGTATTCTGACATAGATAAATACATAATTACCTTGGTAAATCTATACTGTAATTACGAATATATCTTTATATATATAATTCTTCTGTGAGTGTGTATGTCACTGAATTTCTCTCAAACGACTGGACCGATTTTGATGAAATTTTTTGTGTGTGTTCAAGGGGATCTGGGAATGGTTTAGATTCACAATTTTCATCAAATATTAACTTCATATTAATTTATTCAAATTAAAGACGTGTAGACAGGACAACGTCTGTCGGGTCCGCTAGTTTATTATAAAGCTATAAAAAATTACTACGATTAAGATATACCTAAACTTAAATCACAATTTTCGCAAAAAAAAAAGTTTGATGATTGCCATTAAGTTTGATGTTCCTTTGTTTCTTTAATTTATATATGAATTGAATATATAGATATTTAGCAGTCGGCAGCGACTACGTCCCCGCGAAATTAAAAAAAAACCTCAATAAGTAGTTTATGTTTTCTTCCAGACTATGTTCTACACGTGTGCCAAATTCTATCACGATCCGTTAAGTTCCGGAGGCACCATTTAGCAAACATTCATCCATCAATCCAAACTTTCGCATTTATAATATTAGAAATATAGAAATCGGAAGAAATAGAACATACGATATTTCTCTCTTTACAAAAAAACTCTACAGACCAAGAGAGTCCAATTTTCTTTATTCTGTAGTTTTATCCACTGCAATTAATGTTCTTATGCCGTGTGTTAAATGAGTCGTAGCATGCAGCATCTCAGTTCCAACGGTTAATGATACGATGCACAGGAAACTGCGAGGTCGACCGCTCCATGCGGAGTCTTTACAGCTCTGTTGGTTCTTTTTTAATTGTCTCCGCAATCTGACTTTGTGAGACCAAAATAAAACACTACTTCTTAAACTAACCATATATCGCAAAGATACGATGTAATTAAAGTAAGTTATAAACTAGTAAGAAATTATGCTGTTAATAATAAATACATTGTAGTTGTTTTGCACTTGGACAGTCGAGTGGAAACCTTGAATAAATAATGCAATATTGTTTTGATATGGTTCTATATGAACGCTGCATTAAGAAAACACATGAATATCTTAACATGTTCCATGCTTCTACGATTTCTTGATATGAAAATAAACTCCTATATTTAGTCTACGTCCTACCCTTTGCTTATAAAGAAATGATGGAAAGAGGAAGTAAGCCGCGTTCGCTTTGCTATTTTGGTGAATTTGGGTCATCGTTTGCTCGTTTCCAACCTTATAATAAAGTCATTAGAAAACTCGGTAACACTGAATATGTTTACAGCTGCAGCCGGGCACAAACAAGGACATGCTGGGAGTGGCGGTAGGCGCGAGTCCCCTAGGCCAGCTGCTGCTATCTCCACTGCTGGGCTTGTGGGCGAATCGTGTGGGTGTACGCCCGCCGCTCGTCGCCACGCTGGGACTGTTCTCCCTAGCCTCCGCTCTTTACTCGCAGCTGCATCTGACGAGGCCCTATGCGGTGTCCTGCATGATCGCTGCCAGATTCCTTATAGGTGTCAGCTCTTGTAAGTACAACAGTGCTATAAGCTATTGTTATTTACGCACTCGATGTCGTTATTAATGCAAGTTGTAAGCAATATGGATTAATCGATTATTTGATAACTTCTAGCTTGAAGTCACCATTCTTCGTTTAATTGAATTATTTAGGTAGTAATCCAAAGTTTTAAATTGCTTCGTCTGTTGATTGCAGCTAATGTAGCGGTGGCGCGCGCCTACCTCTCAGCCGCAACCCGGGAGGAGGAGCGCACACGCGCGGTGTCTGCGGTATCGCTGGCGCAGGTGTTGGGCTTTGTGGCGGGCCCGGCGCTGCAGGCGGCCGCCGCCCCACTAGGCACTTCCATCAGTGGAGGTCTACGATTCGACATGTACAGCGCGCCCGGACTACTCAACGCCGCGCTCGGTCTCATCAACCTATTGCTGCTGATGCCTGGCTGTTTCCATGTCAGCGATATCGCGGTGCGCGAGGCCGTGCAGGCGAGAGGGGAACGATCAGGTATGTTAAAAGGACAACATTTGCTTTTCTTTTCCATCTATACCTTTTTTTTAAATCGGGTCCCAAAAAACAGGTATTTAATGTTTTATTGCTGCACGTCAGCATCCCTAGATCCCAGTGCCTACTTGAGGTTTTTAAAGATTGTAACGGGAAAATAACGTGCGAGTATATAAAAAGTCCCAGCTGGGCTATGTTCGGGAAGACCTTTACTTTATGATTAACCGTAACTTCCAGAAAAAGAAGTGCTGAAATCCCTAAAGCCGGACTACGTGAGCAGCTGGATGCTGGTGGGCGCGTTCTTCGTGCTGGTGTTCAACTTCGTGCTGCTGGAGACGCTGGCCAGCACGCTCACCATGGAGCAGTTCGGGTGGGGCAAGGCGCAGGCGCTGCAGTACCTGGGCGCGCTCATGTCCGCCGGCGCGCTGGTCGCCTGCCTCGTCTTCGCTGCGATACCGCCGCTCACTAAGCTGGTGGAGGAACGGTAAATACTTACTACTATTAAACCTTTAAAAAAAATTCAAAGTTCGTATTTCAAAAAGTTCGATTTTTTTAAAGATGTATATGATTTGCACAATTTATAATAGAATTTAAAGTTTCTTTAATTTATCGATTTTTTTTAATTTACGTTACTAATATATCTATTGATGATATAAATATTTGGTACAATCACCGATATCGTATCGAATATCTGGTGGTCGCACCTCTCTGATAACATCGTATTTCGAAGTGATAATTTCGTCAATCATATTTTTTTGACCAAAAACACATGAAAGTATAAAAAAGGCATTATTCCCACGTAAAGTCTTTTGACTAATTGATGGATAGCCAAAACACCTTTGTCATAAAGATTTTTGTCTCAGAAACCAACGATAAGTAATTTAATATTCCAATACTTGCGTTTTCAATTGGAGAAAATCGAAAAGGCATTTGCTAAGCTACCGCGTACCATCGTTCCACCATATCACCACTTTACATCAGGTCGCGGTCAAGCGGTAGTTTTTTCATTGCAAAATTATCTATTATTTGTCTTATGCTTTTATGGTGAGTATGTTTCCAGCGCGCTGATGCTGTGGGGCGGGTTCCTGCCCGTGGTGGTGGCGTCACTGCTGTGCATCCCCTGGGGTCCGGGCGCTCCGCCCCTCGCAGACCCCGGAGCCGCGGAAGCCCACGGCGGCTGTCCACAGGTACTGGATTGCAAACACTATTGCTATCTCTGTTCTTCTCTTAGAGACTGAAAGGGATGTCAGTATTGTAACGATGTTGTGTTTTTGTGTGTCAGGAGACGCAGGCGTGGTGCGCGGAGTCTCGCGCGCTGACGCTGACGCAGTTCCTGCTGGCGTACGGCTGCATGTCTGTGGGCTACCCGCTCGGCGTCACCCTCATACAGACCATATTCTCTAAGGTCCTCGGACCACGACCACAGGTAACTAACGCTTACTTAGTCAGTAAGTCAGTAGTGGCAAGTTATATATGAATGTACGTAAATCCATCCTTCAAGGTCATTTTTGTACGGGACTTCTAAGTCAAGTGAAATTTTGAAATTTTACTTTTACTTAGGCCCAAGATTGTATGAAGTATGGGCCAGGGCTGGTAACACAGCTGCTTCCCTTCTAGAATTGAAAAAAGTAAAGTAGACATTAAATAACCATATTAGTGGTAGCTTCTCTCCTGCTTCTTCCCCCCTAGAACTAGCCTAATACAGCGGCTAGCGAGGGCCGTGGTATGAAGGTGTACTATTTGTTATAGTGAGTGCATAAGTAAGATATGTATGTATGCAGGGTGTATGGATGGGCGTGCTGACGGGCGCGGGATGCCTGTCTCGCGCGCTGGGCCCCGTGTTCGTGGCGGGGGTGTACGCGCGGAGCGGACCCGCAGCTGCGTTCACCG